GAAGGCGGCTTGGGACTGGACTAGTCCGAGCACGGGGGAAACTGGTGGCTTCACCAGCACCTTCGTCGTCGAGCACTTGGTCATCCACGATGGTGGAGACGCTGGGGAAGAGGTGCCGAGCACTCCGGGAGGAATGCCGAGCACTCCAGCGGTAGAGCCGAGCACTCCTGGGGCAGTGTCGAGCACTTTGGGAGGGATGCCGAGCACTCAGGGAGGAGTGCCGAGCACTCCTAGAGTGATGCCAAGCACGCCAGAAGTGGCACTGGGAGGTTCTGCAGTGGTGGCGACCACTACAGGACGGGTGCCGAGCACTCCCGTGGCAGAGCCAAGACATCTTACAGTGGTGCCAACCACTCCAACACTGAGGCTAAGCACTCCTACAGTGGGGCCGAGCACTACAGGAGTTATGATGAGCTATCTAGAAGTAGTGCCGAGCACTGCAACTAGGGTGCCGAGCACTCAAGGTGCTGTGCCGAGCACTCCGGCGGAACAGGGAACTCCATCGACGCCGATCGAATTCGTCTCACCTCCAAGTGACATCACTGAGTTCGTGGATGCCTTCCACGAAGGTGAGAAGGTGCGGTTTCGCAGGCTGGACGACATCGTCGGCGACACAGGGCCCTTAGGACCGGCGGGTAGGCTGCTCAATGACGCAGAGCTACTGCTCGTCGGTGCAGAGGAACCACCCATGTTCGCGCTAGCCGAGCGGGACAAAAACTGGCGACGGGCGATGCTGGAGGAGATGAAGGCGATCGAGAAAAACGAGACTTGGCAGCTTGTCGATCCACCTCTAGGATGCCGTCCGATCAGCCTGAAGTGGGTGTACAAGGTCAAGCGGGACGAATTCAGCGCCATTGTCAAGCACAATGCGCGCCTTGTCGCCCGAGGCTTCATTCAGCGTGAGGGCATAGACTTTGAGGAGGTCTTTACGCTAGTAGCACGCATGGAGTTGGTTCGTTTGCTACGCCTTGGCAATAGCAAAGAACTGGCGCGTCCATCACTTGGACGTTAAATCGGCCATCCTCAACGGCGAGCTAGCAGAGACGGTCTTCGTCAGGCAACCTCTAGGTTTCGCCGTTAAGGGAGAGGAGCATAGGGTGCTCCGACTGCGCAAGGTGCTCTACAGGCTATGGTAGGCCCCACGAGCATGGAACGCCAAGCTTGATGCCACGCTGGGCGAGCTTGGGTTTCAACGATGCGCAACCAAGCACGGGCTCTACACGCGGCGACGGGGAAGGAGGAGCTCGTCGTCGGCGTGTATGTGGACGACTTGATCATCACTGGCGCGCGGACGAAGGACATCAACAGCTTCAAGCGCGAGATGGCGGCTCGTTTTCGATTGAGCAATCTCGGCGCACTCTCCTACTACCTCGACATCGAGGTGAGACAGGGGAAGAAGGAACTCACGCTCGGTCAGAGCGCGTATGCCTCCAAGCTATTGGAGCAGAGCGGCATGGCTGAGTGTAAGCCATGCGTGACTCCAATAGAGGAGCGGCTGAAGCTGACGAAGGCCAGTACCACAGCGAAGGTGGATGCAACACTCTACCAGAGCATCGTCGACGGTCTGCGCTACCTAGTCCACACGAGGCCGAACATTACGTTCGTCGTGGGCTACATCAGTCGCTTCATGGAGGATCCCAAAGAGGATCACTGGGCTGCGGTGAAGCGGCTACTGCACTACGTCAAAGGGACGGTGGATCATGGGATCATCTTCCCAAAGACTGTCGAGAGTAGGCTGCAGCTCACTATGTTCAGCGATGTAGACATGGCGGGGGACATCGATGGATGACGGAGCACCTCTAGTATGCTCGTCTTCCTCGGGTTGGCCCCCAATTTCATAGCTGTTGCTGAAACAGAAGGTGGTGGCGCTATCTACGTGCGAGGCAGAGTACGTAGCGGCGACCACAGCGGCATGCCAAGTTGTGTGGCTGTGTCGGCTGCTGGGTGAGTTGATCGACGTGGAAGCTCACCCACTAGCACTGATGGTGGACAACCAGCCCGCCATCGCCCTCGTGAAGAATCTGGTTCTGCACGACCGGAGCAAACACATCGACGTGAAGTTTCACTTCCTCAGGGACTATGTCGATGGAGGGCAGATCGTCATCAAGTTCGTCGAAACTGGTTGGCAACTCACGGACGTCCTCACTAAGCCACTCGGACGTCTTCGACTCATGGAGCTGAAGGAGATGATCGGCATGGAGGGGGTACAAGGGATAGCAGTAGGTTTATGAGAAGAATTGTTAGAATAAATTACTGCTTTCTTTGTGTGAACACAGCAAGGGAAGGCGGCGCTGAAAAGGCCCCCTGCTGTGATACTGTACCGCAGGTGCAGGCGCCGCATGGCTCACCTGCAGCACTGTAGCCGCATGCAGAGGCCGACGCAGAGTCAGCCCTGTATGTTATCTAGTCACTGGCAGCTGTACTGGGACTAGATGGATAGAGTTGTATAAATAAACTATCATGGCAACTCAGTAAAGAGAGCTCAGATTTACCATCTCCCATATAGGGCTTCGGCCAACGCTGGTGTCTTTGTATTGTGTGTGTATGCTCTATTCTCCCTCTTCTTCAACCTCTAGCCAAAGTGTGTGGGGGACGGACAACGCTAGTTCGTGGTCGGCTTAGCTAGTGGGTGCTCGGCAACACTAGCGGATGCTCGGCAAGACTGGTGAGTGGTTCACTCACCTGAGTCGATGATCCTGTGGGCTAACAACCTCTGCTTCCACTCGCGCCCGCCTCCTTTTGACCACGCTCGTCACCCACCAACTGTTGCCCACCGCTAGCCTCCTCCCGGTCGTGGCCGTGGCACACCCCCTCCCGATCGCACAGGCTGCTAGCCTCCACCCGGTGACGCTCGCCGCCTTCGCCACCACCTGTTGTCACTCCCTTAGACAGCATGGCTTCGGATCTGGGGGCATGCCACCTATCGGTTGGTGCATAAAAAGGAAACAAAAATCCCTAATCCCCTAATCTCAGGAGCAGTGCCGTATGGCCTAACATGTATCTATTGCTATAGCATATTTATATATCTATGTGCATAATTATATACCACATATATTTTAAATGGCTACGTATATCTCTTGCATATATATCTACATTCGTAATTGCATACTTATATCTTTTCCAGTTTATCCTAATCAAACTATGTCATGTCCAAAGTTGCAAAATAAAAAGATATACCACATCCAATAGATAGATCGTGCATGCATCAATTAGATCTAGAAGGTTTTTTATATCTAAACCTTACCTATTTTATAAAAGATAAAATTAAATAAATATATATTTTACCTATTACCTCCTAGGAAATAATGGATGATCCTAAAGATCTGATCTAATTAAATAATCAGCTCACAGCAATTTAAATTTAAATGCATAATATTAGCATAACTATTGTTTAATTCATCTAAAAATATGTTTATCAATTTGACTAAAGTAATCCATCCCAAGTGTTTAGTTTATGAATGCTAATGCTAGCATCTGAAAACATAACATAAGTAGTTGTGTATTAAAATAATTGTCCTAAAGGCCTTACTTTAGTTAGATAGGATTACAAAATTTTGTCTAAAAACAATTACAATATTTATTTTAATCCATAATATGAGCATATGCTCTTGTACCACAATGAGGTCTCTACCACTGTAAGACATGGCAACCAAAAAAGAAATTAGAAAAGACATAGCTTTCATGTAATATTGTTTTAAATGGCGTGATACATGATTATTTGGTCGAAACCACCTTATTGGTAGAAATTACCATAAGTTCAAAACTTGGCACGTCCATAGTAAATTCATATATCGGACATGTCTTAAAAGTTGAGATGCAAGTCCGTTTGTGTTCTAGTGCAAATGCTAGATTTTTGTATGAACTCAACTTTTCTACAAATCGGATGCAATATGGAGGGGCCAAGTGTCATTTTTTTTAAAAACTTCTAAATATATTTTTCAAGTGGTTTCCACGATTCCACGGAATGTTTTCCCATGATATAATTGATCAGCATCATATTAAGTACTGAACATAGTTTTAGTCATTCAAAATTAAAATATTGTATGATCTTTTACTGCTATCATTTGCCTGAAATTAACTCAAAAGGTCCTAACTAATTTTATCTCTGTCGATGAATATTTCTTTTTCTGAATGGTGATTTAGGAAACAAAATGAATGAAAAAAACTGTGAATATTTACCTTTCTCTCCAATGTAACCCTGATGTCTGTTTCCCTTCTTTGTTGATTTCCCAACACGACAAATTGACTCTATATTGGTTGCAGAGAAACCCCTCTCATTGTTGAAGATGAGCAAAGTTGAGGATGCACCACATCCAGTAATATCCTTTGATGTAATGAGGAACTCCAAAGAAGGTGCTACTTCAGAAGGGTATTCATTATCTTCAGCGTTCTATTTTTTGAGGAAGAAAGCAAAGTATGAGAAGAAGTATTAAGATTTAAGCACAAACACACCTGCAAACTGATATAAATAAGGTGGCCACAGACAATGCCTAACTTCCAAGGATTAGTGTTTTTATTCTAAAAAAGGATTAGTATTTTTGTTCGCTTCACAAGTTAAGAGGAATGAAATAAATACAGAGGACACACAAGAAGATGAACTTTTTGTTTTACCAGTTAGTTCTGCTATTCATCATTGAAGAAAAGGATTATGACAACTAAATGTCTTTTTAAATTCGACAATAATTACTGACCACGTGGAAAACTTATGTAATAAAAAATAACAAGAGCAACGTCTTAACTATGATAATTACATAAACTCACAATACTGAAAAGGAGGGCTGACAAATTATGCTAACAAATAAAAGAATTATGCTAAATCGGTACCCAAATTCATACACACATATAGAGTAGTTATTCTTTGGCAGTTGACACCAAATTAAACAGAAATAATCTGATGGAACACAAAGGCACACAGAAAGGGCAACTCACACAGCGGTTCACACAAGAACAGCGACAGCAAGAGAAACGCCAAAAGGAGATTACACCGGCCGATCGATTACCTGCACGAGCTCCATGAGGAAGTGCACGTCCTTGGAGTAGAGCTCCTGAGAGAGGTAGTTGACGGCCTGGTGCATGTCCTCCGCCAGTGGGTTCTGCTCGCCGCGCCCGATGTAGTAGCGCTCCCGCCGGATCCTCTCCACGTGCTCCCGCGGCGACGCTGGCGGCGGCATCGCCGAGGACGACGACATTTTGACGGTTCCACTTCCACTGGACTACCAAGGGGAAGGGACGCGGCGTGGGTTGCGAGAAAGTGCAGAAGGGAGATGGAGAGGAGGGGTCTTCTTCCGGGCTTGCAGGCTGCCTTTATAACCACGGTGATTACAACGGCGGTTCTTCGAATTCTCGTGTTTCTTCTTGCAAACTTGTCAGCGACAACTTTCAAATAGCTAGCTCGATTAGACTTAAAAAAAACACTGTAGTCAAGAGTTATTTAAGCGGGCAGAGAGTTATTTCTAGGAGATCGTGCTAGACTAGTTATTTAGGAGTTACTAGCTATTTCATCTCTTCCTTATAACCAATAGATAGAATTCTTCTTAGAGCTGTGAGGGAGTTGTTTCTAAGAGATCGTGCTAGACTAGCTATTTGAGAGTCATTAGTTATTTGATCTCTCCCTGATAACTAATAGTCCTAAACTAGTTATTTGGAAACCATTGAGAACGTCGTTAGGCTCGCGTTAAATTACCAAATCTACTTTACCTTTGCCTGTCCAGGCTAATCACAAGTAGAAGCTAGGAGTGAAAATTAGCTCGTCTATCAAAGGTGCCGTTTGAATTCCAAGTGATTCTAAGAATTTAGATAAAAAAAATCCCAAAAATTTTATTAGATTTCAAGATTTAAAAAACTGTGAGTTAAAATCTCTCTAAAATCCAGTCCATTTGGATGAGACACACGATTGTATCATTTTTTCCTCGATCCGGATTCTAATCCCGAGGATTCAGAAGGGCCTAATAAATAAGAAAGCTAATAAATAATGAGTTAGTTTTAGTCAACTTCTTAGCTAGATGTTACTTCCTCCGTTCTGTTTTTATAGGAACATGCTGGAGGGATAGGATTCCTTTAGACGGTTGTTGCCTGCCTGCGCATGCACAACCTGCACTCCATCCACTAATTCGCCATGCCCGCATGTGCATCGCCGTCGTCGTGTGTTTGTACGAGACTCGCTTGCAATCCGCCCATCTACCTTGATTTCCCGCCCCCATCCGTTCGCCCCGCCCCGCAGGCGCACCTCGCCTCTTCTTGCCCCAGACCGCCAGCCCCCAGCGTGCCACGCGCCACATCCGCCGGTCATCGGCTCGCCACGGCCCATTCTCCGGCACCCGTGCCCTGCCACCATCACTCCCCCGTGCCCCCTGACTCTCCAAACCGCAAGAAACACGTGCAACATGAAACACTTGAATGCAACATACGTCTGAAACAGATGAAACATCTGAAACATACACTTGCAACATATGTGTGAAAACATATACAACATCCAGATAGAACACTTGCAACTTGCAACAAGAAAACCCTTGCTGCAACGGAAGACGGGAACAGGTGAAACATTTGGAACATACTATTGCAACATATGTGTGAAACATATGCAACATCCGGATCAAAACGCTTGCAACATACATCTAGAACAGATGAAACATTTTGAACAAACGGTTACAACATGCCTCTGAAACACTTGCAACATATGGAACATGTGCAACATCCCCGATCTGCTTTTGCAACATCCATATGAAACAACTTTAACATACCTCAGAAAATGTCTAGAAACATATATTTGGAACATAGCGGAGGGGGAGCGCCTATGCCAGTTGATTCCGGCCGTCGGGGTGGGAGCCGGTGGTAAGCGGCAGCGCGCGAGCACCACTAGCATCTAGCAACAACAACGCGTGTGAGCACCACCGCCACCAGTGCCACCAACACCGAGCTTGGCTCGGGTAGGCTGGCGGCGCGTGTGACGGGTGGAGCGAGCACCACCAGCACCAGTGCGCGTGATGGGGGCAAGCGAGCGGCGACGGGTGGGCGTGTGGCAGCAACGAGGGGATTGCACGTCCACGCTCAGGACGGAGCAGCCACATGGCACTGCAGCAGGGGGAGGAAGCGGAAGGGATATTGATGGATGATTTTTTTTAATAAACTCACAGGCAGAACGAGCGGCAGGGTAAAGCGCAAGCAACGAGGCGGTGGACCTATGGGAGTGTCTGACGATTTGTGCTCGCGTCGGATGTAAGACACGTAGCATTACCACTTTTTATAAGGTGCGGTTGGACATACCAAGGTCTACCAAATTACAATTTGATTATTTATTTATTTTTACATTATATTGTTTATACTTATAAACTTATGATAATTGGATACTATATTTAATTGCAAATCTAAATGTATCAAATTTGTAATATAATAATTAAAAAGTATTAGTCAAATTATTGTTAAAGAGTTTTAAAGTTTAATTTTTCATATATGTTTATGCCTTACAAAAGAGAATGGAGGGAATAGCTTATAACTTATCAGGGCTAATAGTATATTGCTAGGGATGTATGGAGGGAATAGCATATAACTTATCAGGGCTAATAGTATATTGCTAGGGATGTATGCACCTTTTATTAGACGGGGACCAAACATGTGTAAGGCTAATAGTTAGATGACTAAATTTTAGCTGGTGTCGAGTAATAAATAGATTTAGCTAAACAGGTCTGGTCCATCTTGTCACTTTTAAAAAATATTGTGGGAGTAGTGCTGAAATTCAGAAGTGACTGTAAATTAAAGGGTGGTTACAGTACTAAGTTTTGCAAGTATAATTTCGGAGTTAATTGATATATTGTTCTTTAAAGTCACTTCATCCCTATTATTACTATCTCGGGAGACTAAATTGACATGTCTCGAGTTTATTGGTGGACATGTGGTTTATTATCAAAAAAATATATTCCTTAATAAATTAAATATACAGATATATATCAGTCAAGTATCATGAAAGCTGATCAAGATTAGTACAAAGTGTCTCTCAACTTTGCTGCTACGCACCCGAGCACAAACTTTTGCTACTGCTAACATTGGTCATCAGTCGAGCAGGCAAAGCAAACAGGCTCCCACATGCATATCTTCGCGGCGAAGGTTGCTTCCCTACCCTACACGGCTACACATCGTTAAGCAAGGCCGCCAGGACGGAGTCAGTCTTTCTGAGGCAGAGCGTCTCGTCTCGACTGTGAGCTGCCAAAGTGACACGACGAGAACCGTGAAACGTCTAGGTCGCTGTCACTTGTTCCTCGTCCCACCGCGTGGAAAGCTACCCCAGGACGACGCAGCTGTTTACCTGTTTGGAACTCATTGGATTAAAGGTATACAGAGTCTAGTCAATTTTGAAGAGGACCTTCCTCTTTTCAGCCTCAATTTTGGAGTGATCACTCTTTTTCCAAAAATAAAATAGGATATGGAGCAAGCCAAAACTGTAAAATTATTGCTCTGTGTCTTTAAACAACTATTTGGTCTAAAGATTAGCGTGTTCGGCTTATTTCAGCTTATTCTCTCACACAGAACACTATTAAATTATCCGAAATAATCCGAAATCCACTGTTCAACGTACCAGCCGAGCACGCTGTAATTTTCATAATCACGAGATTTTCTGTTTTAGAGAAGCAAATATAGTTACGAGAGTAAATATACTAAACTTTTTTAGATGTGAAGTACTCCCTCCGTCCCTAAATATCTGTCCTTTTCGCTTCCCAAGAAACAACTTTGACTAAATATATAAAAATATATATTAATATTTATGGTACATAATTAATATCAATAGATAGATATTTGAATCTAGTTTTTTAATAAATATATTTGGAGATACAAATGTTGCATGTATTTTTCTACAAATCAGTAAAACTTTCGGTATGAAACCAACGGCGACAGTTAATTAGGGACGAAGGGAGTAAGGTCACACCCTTTCAGGTACCTATGCACTTCTACAGACTTCATAATACAGATTGGAGTGTAATGGAGGAAAGATTAAAGTATAAACTAAGTACCTGGGAAGCTAAACATCTATCTTACTAGAAGCATATCCCATAAGTTGCTGTGTTGTTTTCTTAGAATAAGACCACATGTATGAGTTAAACTTACAATAAAAAGTTAATGAAAAAGTCCAATAAAAAGCCTAATAGAATTATATTAAATTATAAGATGTGTATGAACGACAAAACAAATAGCAATATATAGATGTCTCCTATATTTTTAATATATTAAAAGTAGTCATTGCACTTAGTGAAGATGACGTGGATAGCTTATATTAAGAGATTGAAAGTTAGTGGCATGACATGGCTATTAGTGGGGGATAATGTGGATGGCTTGCATATTAAGATGGAACTTGTAGTGGGGATTAGCTTTATAAGAGATTGTAAAGAAAATGGGCCCAAGGGCCATTTAGTTTGGATTTTGGTGTTTGATGATCAACATAATCATTTGGACTACTATTGTTTGCTAGTGGTTTTAGATATAGTTCAAAGGATGCAAAGTGGACTTGGACTTAGGCAAAGTGGTGATCTGGATGATCAACACCTCAAGCAAGACAATTAAACACATGTTGAAACTCACAAGACATGCAAAAGTCCAAGAAACAAGATGGAATGGAACCAAGTCGGACGCAAAGATCACGAAGAAACAAGTTGAAAGAGGGTTCAGTAGGGCGTCCAACCTAGGAGGGGCGTCTAACCAAAGGAAATAGCTAACCCTAGCAGTGGCGTCAGAAGGGCATCAAACCGAGCATGGGTGTCGGATCCCTAGTGGCGATGGACCAACCACTACAACTGTTCACAAAACAGCGGCTGATTCAGACCAAAAAGAAGCAGAAGCGTCGAACTAGTGAATGCTAGTCCGATGGCTTGCAGAGAGATTCTAGAGAGGGTTTGTGGGCGTCAGACCGGTCCGACAGTAGGCGTTAGACTATATGCCATAGAAGAAATCAACGGTCAGCAGAACGACTAGTTTCAACTACTAGTTGTGGATTGGGCGTTGGATTGGTCCGACAACCCATCATCGGATGGTCCGGTGAGTGTGCAAGTTCCAAAGGCTACATTTAGAATTGGGGCCTATAAATAACCCCTTGGTCGAAAAATGAGCGCGTGTAGAGCTCAAGGAAGACTTATGTGAGTTACTCTAGCCAGCAAAGTGCCTAGTGATATACTCGGTGATTAGCATAGGTGCTTTGTGAAGTGCT